TCGGCCAAATTCGAAAGGTTGCTCATTACTCAGTCTGTCCCATTTGAAGTTTAACAATCAACTGTTGGCGTGTGATTTACCCGATCTGTAGAAAGGAGACATCATTTAATGACTGGACACTAGCGAGTCTTCCACTAGTTTATAAAATAATAACTCTGTTATCTGTTTCTTTTTCAGATTTGGTTGCCTTGACGAGCCCGTGTTTAGTCGTTACACCAAGCAGCTGCTGTCGGGCGTGTCTTATCTCCATAGAAACAACGTCATTCATAGGTATTTGAGTCAATCCCGTCTTCCACCAAGTCTAATATCAATTTGTCGTCATTAACGGTTATTTTTTCCTTTCTTTGGGTGTTCATGTATTTAATGTTACTTTATCCTTTTTGCTACTCAGAGATATCAAGGGTGGTAATATTCTTATTATGCCAAGCGGCGTCCTTAAGTTGATCGACTTTGGTTGTGCCAAACGTCTTTACATGGTAAGGTTTGCTGCTTGCTTTAGAGTAGGGTGTGGGGGACTCGGAGACCTGGTATTCAGCACGCAGGACTCCGGGTCGAGAGAGTTGGGTTCGAGATCTGACCGGGTCATCGTGTCGTGTTTTTGGGCAAAACACTTTACTTTCACAGTGGCTCTCTCCTCTAATGGAGTCTAAATGACCAAGACAGACTTTCTCCTTACAATATCAGTACAAAATCAAGAAGACAAGTGATGAGAACCAAGAAAAATATCAATTAGAGGATTATTAGTTGATCCAATACCAAATTCTCAGAAGTAAAATCAGAAGAATTGTATAGCAGATAGAAAGGAGAATTACTAATGAGATCTTGGAAGTTAAACGGTTAATGAGGCGGTGTTCTATTTTCACGTGTTCTGTGTCTTCTACGCCGAGAAGGAACTCTTAATGTGAACCGGTGAATTGTCCGATATCGATATTCAAAACCCTTTCATTGTCGTTAAAGCGATCCAAAAAGTACCATGACCTCGAATTCAACTACTTTTGTTTCAGAACCTGAGCATGAGTAGAAGTAACATCCTTCGCTCCATGAAGGGTACGCCATATTGGATGGCACCTGAGGTTATACGGGAGACTGGGCATGGCCGTAAGTCTGATATCTGGTGAGTGTGATCATCAGTTACAACAAAACTTAACATAGCTAGTATGGTATTTCTGTGAAATAACTTCCCAGTAAAAGTCTTGCTGGTAAACCAATGTGTTATTATTGCACGCCCGCGTGTACCCAATGTCAGTCAGCTCTAGAGATTTTTTCTAATAAAAGCCAAAATCGAACCATCGACTATTTGGGGTAATTTGGTATTATCAGCTGATTTGATGCTGTAAATTGGCCACCGGTAAGAATTCCAAGGCTGACGTTTCCCCTCGTCAGAGCCTCTTCATTCTGCGTATTCGTGTGACGGAGGGCTAACTTCGAAACTTCAGCGTTGAAACTCTTTACGGTGGCCAATTGACGTTATCAAGTCAGTTTATAATACCAAATTTCCCCGTTAAACTCTCCCACCGACGCAGCACCACAGTTTCTTTAGAAACCTACCCACTTTATTCATTGACTATTTGGTCGACTGATTCTTTCATCGCTATTGCTTTGTTTTCTTTGTTAGACATGAGTGTTTTTTTTGTTAACAGGAGTGTTGGTTGCACAGTCTTTGAAATGGCAACTGGAAAACCTCCATGGTACGTTCACGAAGATTTCATTGTTTCCTGATATGACCTGAATTATGTTCGAATATACCATACTTACTTACTACACTCCCTGCTAGTAAAGGAAATTCTGAGATTCATAGGGTTTGGCCCAGTTGTTTAAAGGGTGGACAACGCTATCCAAAGGATAAATAATGGAGAAAGGAACATAATGCTCTCTTCAGCGGATAGGGATTCATCCAGTGGATAACGTTATCCAGCCTGGGTCTGGTTTGTGTATATGTGTGTTGGGGGCGTTGATACAATTTTTTTCGGTTTCGGAAGAAGGAAAGCTGTCGTGTAGTACGTGTATGCAACTGCAAAATAACAACGAAGTATTATGTTGCTTTCAGAAACAGAGTGAAGTAATTTAGCTGCATCTTCTGTTTTATTACCAGGTCTGACATGCCTCCCATGGCAGCCATCTTTGCAATTGGAAGTGGTTCTTTAGCAGTACCACAACTCAGTGAGGATTTTTCATCAGCTGCCCGAGACTTTGTCATGAAGTGTCTCACGAGGTTGGTTTCCTTGTGGCATTATTAGGCCTAATTCTTAAAAAATACCTTGATAACAAGTGATTTCTTCTAAGTTTTTTCGGCTTTTTTTATGATTAAAACAGCCTTGATCACTCCTTCCTTTTCTTCATTCTAGGGACCCAGATTGGCGGCCTTCAGCCGATGAGCTGCTGAAGCATCACTTCCTGACGGACACCTCATAATAGGAGCCGCGAGTAGATGCACCTTGATTTATACCATTGCAAGGAAAGGAACATTAGAAAAATCGAATGTAAAATTTGCCATTTGCAAAGCAGTACATGGTTGAGAGTCACTGCTGTTCTTTTGCAATATCCATAGTTCGTACGCACACTACAGTGAAATTTACAATGAATAAATTTCTCTCCTTTTCGAAAGGATAATATATCGTCTTCTCTGTGCAAAGCAGACAAAAAAATGTCTTTAATTTATCCCAATGCTTAAATTATTGCGTACTATCCTATTTTAGCCACAAGTATTTTAACAGAAGATGGTCGAATTAAAGGATCAATGTACAATACAGACGGAGATGTCTTTGCGTTCTTAACTTTTTTATGCCCTGTGTTTTTATATAGGCAAAAATTTCATCTTGCGTGAAGTAGAAAAGCTTTTACATGTTAACTGACGCGATTGAATGGCAAGAAGACTGTCGCACAATTCAAGGATTACAAAGCACGAGTCCGAATTGAAAATACGAGCGCGATAATTCGAATTCTCTTTACCTTGATGTACTTAAATAAAGGGAATAAAGCGACAGACAAGTACGTTTAAAAAGATAAGTTGCAGGTCCTGAATTTTCCTGCCCGCAATTAACTGGCACCAATAAGTACCAGCATATATCCCACTTGTTACAAGAGTTAAACTGGTTACCAGTTTGTCTTAACGCTAAACTTCGTGACAGTGCCGCGGCTTTTAAGTGTTTAAAGGGCCTTAATTATGCCGAATAGAGCACCGTGCCGAAAAGAGCACGCCACACAAATTATGAATGATTTTTGCAGATGACGACGGGTGGTTACTCAATAGTTCCTACGCAAGATACGGGCTCGTCGAACTGCTTCGCCATTAGTTCCAATTTTCAGCAGTTATGAAGTGTTACCTTTGACCAATGTATTCACTGCGGCAGGAATATCAAAGCAGCCAGTGATTGCGTTCACGTCATGTCAAACTGGGTAAGCTTTTAACAGCAGCAGCAGCAGCTGTAGACGTGCAACTCTCGTATTACAACCGTGACAGATCGTTACGGAAAGGAGCCATATTCCCGTGTCGAATCTTCCTAGACGGAATTAGTGTTTTAAAATGAAGGAGAAAAAATCCTCAATTCTTCTGTATGTGCTGAATAGACTGCAAGATTTGGAGCGTTAGACTTGCTCGTTTCGGCGCGACACTCTATTCGGCATTTTACAGGCCTCACCCCCTCGGACGTGGAAATGTTTTTCAAAAGATCAGACACTTACTCCGCTATAGTACGAAAAAAAAAGTCTAACTGTAGATCCCATGTCAAGGAAGGGTGGGGATTGGGCAGAGAGGTGCACAAAAAATTGCGGCAGGTCGTAGTCATTATGGACTACTGAGTGCATCTGTTTCGTGTAAACCCCTACCAACTCCACTTTTTTTCTACCATGGGCTGCAGCCTTTTACGCGCAATCTGTAAAACTATTCCAGAATAGAGTTGAAGGATAAACTTTATTGTCCAATAAACATATTTGTGATGGATACATATGGCTTATGAAGGATATAACTTTTTCTGACAAAAGGCAGAACGTAACTAATGCGAGAAGTGACAAGGGCAGCTAAGTATCACCAACAAGCTACGTACTCTTAGCGAGATGAGCTGAACAATTCAGTCAGTCATCTGGGCGGCTATATCAGATTTGAGAAGCTATTATAATTAACTGATAATGTTAGGCAATAATATTTAGCTCTTGAAATAGCTATGCCTATGATGTATACGCTTATCATAGCTGACCTTTCAGAAATATATCGCTCCAAACGTTGAATGCAAGATATCAACTTGTAAAACCCCATTTGAATTGCCTGCATTACGTAGATTGTACAATTTTATGTTTTTTTTTTTCATTCAGCTTCGTTGTATAACTCTTTCATTTGGATATCGATTTAAATATTCCTCCATTTATTGATACATGATCATTGATGTTTTGAGCCACAATGTTAAATTATTGGTTTTGAACAGATTAGGAAAAATTCTGAATATGGTGTACCAGTGTATGGTGTCAGCGATATATTTTATAGGCAGTGATATCACATGATAAATGTATATAAAACATATACCTAAACTTTTATTTTAAACTTTAGACTGTTAATGCGAGTCTCTAATTGATAAATCTCGAGTAACAGCGAAAGTGACTTCTATCTTATGGTATTTACAGATTTATCCGAGTTACTGCAACTATACTATTTGACCAGTATACAACAACACACAGTCATCCTTTTACGGCCTAAAAGTGTCAAACGATTTAGGATTTAGGATTTAAAGTATTTTCATTTAGCAAACATGTTATTACCATTGGCACTCTTTGGGTTATTGATTTGAACATGATATTCCTTGCAAAGTAGAAGGAAGACACAAGAGTAATCGCTGGTTTTCTTGGTGGGATTATTGATTACTTTACTCGCCGGCAAAATCGACTAGATCGGTCTTTCGGAGAGTCGCTCTCAACTACTTAGTTCTACAACTGACAGAGACTTTCAGTCATGAGAAACACGATTTAACATTCATTCATCATCAAAACAGCGATGAAAAAACCTTCCCTTCCTACTCAGGAAGTTTCGTTATTATTTTCTCGTAGTGGCATTTAAGTTGTTCATATGGAATACGCTGCAGTTGATAGTTGATTTGTTTCAGGCGGTTTCTGAGCCTTAATTCTCTTTCTTCTTGAATCATTTCTTCATTTAGCTCATATTCTAATTTTATTTTTTCATTTTTAAGCTGTTGTTCCCAATTTTCAGGGATTAGTTTTAAACTATTCAACCCGCTTTCAGATACTGGGCTACTACAATTGACAGAGGCTCTCATTCATAAGAAACACGATTAAATATTCATTTATCATCAAAACCGTGATCAGCAAACACCCCTTTTAACTGAATTTCTTCTATTTTACGTACCATTTTGTTGTAGTGGTCTTTTAATTGTTCTAATGGTAACTGATTCAATTGTTTGTCAATTTGTTCCAGGCGTTTTTTGAACTGGTTGTGAGGTTCTCTGTTTTTTTCGATCTTTTTAGCTCTTTTAGAAGGTATTTTGCCCGAATATAGCTTATGTTTGTTGTTTTGTTTCAGGCGGTTTTTGAGCATGATTCGGGGTTTTTTTTTCTTTTTAATCATTTTACCTATTCTGCGTACCTTTAGCTTACTTTTTATTTTTATTTCTTCCTCTAGAAGCTTTTTTTTCCAATTTTCAGGGGTTAGTTTCAAACTATTCAACCCGCTATCAGATAATGACCAGTCTATAGTGCCACGCTCATTGCTCCGCAAAAACTGATTGGCACCATTAAAGTAGTTGCCACCAAAAAACGAATCTCCATGTTTGGCGGTGCCCGTAGGTGAAGGGTGCCCTCCTTCAATTATAAGCTGCTTTTTATTTATATACGTCGAGAACTTTTTAGCCTCTCTCCCCCACAATAGCCAAACAGAAGGACCCGCTGTCTTAACCTCAATATGCTTGATCAGGGATATGGTGAAAGCTTCCCATATTTTTGAGTGACTTCTATACTTATACCTATCCTCTTCATCTGCTTCATTCGGAGGCTTGTGTGGACATGTAAGAGCCGTGTTAAGCAGAAGGACGCCTTGCCTTGCCCATTCCATAACATTACCTTTATCAAGGTCCACAGGGAAACCTTCAAAGGCGACTTCTAAAAACATGTGCAGTACCGCTGGAACAGAACGAGGTTTTTCCACGTGAAATGCCACACCAGTAGCCTTGTCTTTTTGCGGAGTTGGATCCTGGCCTAAAATCACCACTCTCACTTTCTCTGGTTCCACCAGCTCGAAGGCCCTAAACAACAATGGCATTTGTGGTTCAATGGCGTCTTCCAGTTGTTTACTTATATTAATAAGATCGTCTGCCAAACGTTTCAACAAGAAGACGCCGTTAGATTTCTTTTGCAGCTCTTCAAAAAAAGGTTTCCATGGCTTCGGAATACATTTTTTTAAATATTCAGGATCGTCTATTCTGTCTTTGCTGTACTTGACTTCGCACCATTCCGATTTGACTAAACAATCTAAGGAAAAGGAAGGAATAAAAATGAATAACTGAATGAATAAAAAGATAAATTCCAATTTGAGTAGAGCAACATATATCTACGAACCCTCCGAAACAGGATCCCAGGGTAACGAACATCTTTCCACACCTAACAATGTATTTGGATGATTTGTAAATGTTTCACTTTAAAAAAAAAGCTCTTGCGTAAACGAATACTTAGGATAAATAAAAACACAGAAAACACTGCGTATATACAGAAAGCAGGCTCAAATGTCATCCAAACATTTAAAATAGTGGACTCTACCCTGTTAAAAACAAATTTGAACCACGCCCCTGTTGATCATTATTAGAAAACGCATTCTTGATTCTTCCTGAATACTGCTGCTTTTTTTACTAAGAAAAAAAACCATCCTGTTATTTTACAAACCTGGTTTCCAAGCGAACAGGAAGACAATCAACAGATACCTCGAAGCCATGTTCTTTGCACGTTGAGTTTCAAAGAAATGTATGATCCACCTAAAGTGTAAGGTATGTGGAAAAGATTCACCAACCCACAACTGAAAATGTCTCGTCGAGCGAGAAATTAACTGACATGATGCTTAAGATGATTCCTCAGAAAAGAAGTTTTTGAACAATTTTTTTTTAACTTAAAACTTTACGTAAATTTTCCTGCCCATGTCTATTTCGAAAAATGAGATAGTGAGAAAAATAGGTCACCGGGTTTGTTTAAAAGATATGATGGGCTAAAATTACCTCATTTATGCCTGTGCTGGCGCTAATCGCGCTACTTCCTCGCTTCATGGTACATTTTGCGCTAGCTGGAAGCTAGGGTTTTTAAAGAAATACTTGATAAAAAAAAAAAAAAACTTGATAGCTAGAAAGTCTCGAGTGTATGGAGCAATTTAGTATATAATTTGAGGAAATATCACGCAATTTTAAAAGAAATCCATTCAAAACGTTCCTCAACTCATTGCTTGTTAGGTCATAATTTGTATCCTCGATTTACGCGCTTTGACCATACTGTTGATTACATCTTTCTTTCCCCTCAATGTTTTTTCTTCAGTTTAATAAAATAGTAATTTTCTCCAATTTAAAGGTGATAATTTGTCACTAGAATTATGCAATATGTTGATTGTCGTACTCGTTCAAAAACTTAATACCATCATACCCCTTAAAAGGTGTAGTGATTTTAAAACAATACCGCGTTCTCGGAATGCGCGCGCTTTTTCGCCTGATTACGAGATTTATATGCGCAGTATGGGATGCGCAGTACAATACTGAGGAATCACATAAAGTCATGATTAAAAATAAAATTTGCAATAACATGTAATGTAAAAATGAACGAATATGGTTTTATTCGAGTACAGTGGAAGCACCCATAGGCGAAGAAAAGAAAAAGAAAATGATAGGCAAAAATTTGGCCATATGGTAAATCGAAATTTATACAACTTAAAGTTCATGACTTCCTTTTTGTGCTTTAATCTGTATAGCGGGATTTTGAACTTAGAGTAATTTCCTTCGCACAATTTGAGAAGTTGGGGAGTAAGCTGTCAAACGGTAAGCGCAGAAGATTAAATGAAGAAAGAGGAAAAGTAGTTCTAGCTACTTCTTTTCGCTCAAGATATGTTGAAAAGAAAGGCGGAAAGA